ATACAAATTTTATAGGGATATCCCATGTCCCGCTTTGAAGTGTTTAAGCATATAAATATTTTTTTCACCTAAAGGAATCTTATGACAATATTTCAAGGACTACAGTAGGATGGCTCTTTCAAATTCTCAACCGTTCACGCGAGTTATACCTATACATGTGGATATGAAACTAAATATGCAGTCAAAAGTTAGAATTAAAGTTTTTTTTAAATGTATCTAACGCGTCTGTAGATATACTCGTAGATAGTTTAAATGTCTCCTATGGAGTCTCTAAAGTAAGCCTGTTTAGTATGTATTTTTTATTTTATAGAGTAAAGTAAATACAGGAAAACACTATTACCTAAATTGAGAATTCCCATAAGCAGTTCAATGCATCCAGCAATAAAGGTCAACAAAATAACGCACTCAATGGGATGTCCAATAACAAATGAAAATGTCAAAAGTGACATTAAACTCGTTGGTCCAATGGACACCTAATAAAAAGTAAAATAGAATTTGCATACACATTTTCAAAAGAGAAGCTTATCGTTGACACAATTTAAAACAAAAAGCGATATAATTTTGACTGAAAATCTGTAATAATAATTTTCAGATTTTTTTGCGAAGTAAAATAATAATCATAATTCATAAATATTTTTGATCTCAACAACTTATTATATGTATATTTTAGGGTCTTTTCACATGATTTTCACGATATGCCCAACAAACGGACCATGTCTTAATTATAAATAAAAAATGACTAAAAGAACCACCTACCTCTTTAATTGTCCCAAAAAAAACATAAGTATAAGAACCGATAAAAGCAGTATACAGTCCGTATTCAGGAGAAACTCCTGCAAGGCCAGCGTAGGCAATGGACTGAGGCATCATAGTTAATCCCACTGTCAGTCCAGCTATAAAATCAGCCAAAATATCATTTTTCGTGTAGTGTGGCAACCATTGTAAAATATGTAGGCGTTTGTTAAGAATTCTTCTGAGTCTTGAGGTTGGCTCAAATTGTGCAACATGTTGCTTCGGTGGAACCACTAGAAATATTTCAGACACATGTATTCTCATTTCTAAAGGAAACAGAGCGCACTGAAGGAAGAACCTTGCATCGAAATGCAAATAATGCAATTTTTGTGATGATATAACAAGAAAACACAATTTACTGTGTTTTTATCACTATTTCATTTTTATTACTTCACGTTACTGCAGTTTCGGCACTTAACGTGCCATTTTCAAACGATTCTGAAGAGAAATGAATAAACAAAACCAATTACAGTATATTTATACTAAAAACTATTTACGAGTATTTACCACCTGCGTTGATTTAGATAGTCAGTCTGATACAATTTTGTCTGTGACATTTTTTAAAAGAATCAGTTACGTGCTAGATTTAAAATTACGATTTTATGATTTTCTGTCATAATGATTCAAGACACAACTTTCAAATTTTTAATTTCTGTGAGAGAAATTTTAGAATGAGGTACTCATTTTCTTAATAACTACTGGTAAGGAAATTACGATATCGTTAATTTCATACATTCAAAGTTCTTTTGTTTGAATACATATTTAAAAAAAAAATTCTATGGACAAAAACTTGAAATGTGTCTTGCAAATATATACGAGGGAGCTCATTACTATTTCAACACCGAAATTTCATGATCGAATAACTCTGATATCGTGAATCAAAAGGCATTCAGACTTGGATCAAGAGTACTCTGTTATATGTTTAACAGAACGACGCAAACAAAATTTCTTGCAAATATATACGAGGGAATATAATTTACTAATTTTAATTTTTTTATTAGACTATGTTTTAAAAAAGTAATTATACATAGGAAATAATAATGCATAGGACAAAACATATTTGAAGGGTTTTTTGTACCATATATATAACAAATTAACTCAGTGATGGCCAGACCTCATGTACAAGGGCATATTAATATACAATATATTAATATCTCCGATACGACTTTAGCAATTTGAATATTTAGATGTGAAAAGTACTTAAAATACTACATATTTTAGTATTAAAATGGATAGTTCATCAGGGACGTGTATACGGGCTCACAATTTAATAATTTTGTTAAAAAATATATACGCCACTGACTTTTTTACTTTTTGACTTCACAGTTATGTAGATAGGTAGTGGCCCAAAAAAGTTACCTCTTGATATTTTTTCGATTTCGGTTTCGTTTAGGAAATATTTAGAAAAAATTGAAAAAATAAGAAAACTGTAACACCGTGTAACTCAGAAAACAAGGCAAGAGTGGACCAATGTTGATAGAAACTATTTGTTTTATTTTTGGGTAAAGCATCTCCGCTTAAGCGATGACAAAAAAAAAATTATCTCTTCAAATGGGAATACTTTGAATTATTTGAAGCTTTGCACGGTTTGATTATTTTCCTTGGAAGATTTTCTTTTAATCGTAATGAAAACTGAAAACAATGAACACAACGGTTTCATTGTTAACGAAACGAGGTTGTAGTACTGAAAAGGGATTGAGAATCTGTTAAAATAATTAATAATTAAAGTTATGATGTTTTAAATTTAATCTATTTTCCAATTATTCTTAGATTCTTAGTATACATATAGTAATTTTGATACAGGTAATATGTGTAGTATAGAACTTGCATGTCTTCACTTTATAAAATGCATCCTTACATTATGTGAAAAATGTTAAATTATAAATTTGATGAACAATAGTTGTGAATACTAATTTTTTTTAAATGGGATATGCGAATATTTTTACAGCTACACGACTTTCATTTACCCTTTTTGATATCTCTATGGTGCACTTTTATTTGTTCATCAAATATTAAATAAGAACTTCAAAATGCTTTGAGACAATTGCTTGTTGTTTATTAAAATCATAAAAATAAAAATAAAATTTATTATGTGTGTTCAACTTGTTAGAATTGTAGTGAATAAACAAAACTGCTAACGTTTATAATTAATTGTATTTGAACGAATGGTTATCGTTGACATTTTGCACTAGATGGATGTTTCTAAATGTACTTACATTTTAATAGTTTCTTCGACTGTATAGAAAATATCCTCTATACCTATTGCTATTTTAAAATTATTTACATGGTAATGGTAATGGTAATGGTGGGGGAGGCTGACGCCTGGCAAGTAGGCCTCAGACGGGCCCTTTTTTACCAACCCCCAGCTGTCCCCTCAGCCATGTGCTTCTCTTGCTCCCTCATCGAATCTTTCCGACCTTCTGATGAAGGTCAGGATGTCACTCATTGCGAGGAGCTCATCTCCTCCCTTAGAAGCGCCTCAGAACCGAAGATACTGTGTCTCAGGCGCCCAAACGCTTCACATTGTCCCAGGAAGTGGTAAGATGTCTCTTCATCACTCCTGCATCTTGGACATGTAGGGGTCTTCCTCAATACCTATCAATGATAGATGCCTCTTAAGTCTGCAGTGGCCTGTCAGAACACCGATTAAGAGATTCAGAGTTTTACGACTCCGTCCCAGCAACCAGGCCGATCTCGATTTGTTCGGCCCCGTCACAAAATCTCGGGTTTGCCTGCAGGCCCTGTTGGTCCTCCAGTGCGTCCTCAGTGTCTCGTGGGCCCACTCATCGAGGGGCCGTTGTGACCTGCCTTCTTGAAATACCTAACATAGGCTCAGGCCCGTGACAGGGCTCCTCGGCTCCGAGTCTAGCCAATTCATCAGCCTTCTCGTTGCCTGGAACTCCCATATGTCCCGGGACCCATACCAGTCTCACTTGTTTATGCCTAGCCAGCTCTTCTAGGGCATCCCCACACTCCTGGACGAGAGCTGATCTCGTCCTGGGGGACACACCGCCTTTAGAGCAGCCTGGCTGTCGGAGCAGATATATATTATCTGTTCCGCCCCATTCCCTAACCTCAGCCTTACCTGCCACCGTTAGGATGGCGTAAACCTCTGCCTGGAAGACCGTGGTTCATTGAGAGTATTCAAGAAACCATTTTTTTGTTTTGATTATTAATTTAAGGAGTCCAAGACGAAACTTTTGTTTTCTTTCAATCCTCAAAAGAAAACATTTTTAATGATTTGGATGTATTGTAATAACGAAATATTTGAAGTTGCCCACTTGAAATTGATATCTGTGTAATATTGGTCAGCATCCGTCTATGTATACTATGTTTAAAAATCGCCATTTTCCAATGGAGGTTTGTTCTACTTGATTCAATAATTTGTAAAATAATTAGGTATTGGTGTTTTCTAAAATACCGGTTGCATTTTGTATATTAAGGGTTTTAATTGATATTTTGACACCTTCTCGCATGAGAATCAAAGGGTTCTAAGCGACATTTTGCTCGAAATAGAGATATTTATTACAACCTACTGTAACTGTTTTCCTGCATCTTTCTGGTTAGGAAATTTCACTATTGAATGAAAGATTGCGCAATAAAGTTCATTTCCGTATGATCCTAAATTAAAATTTGATACAATTTATGTTTTTTCTTACTCTTTGAAATCACAAACTAAAGACTATTTATTTTTAGACGTTTTCTACCGTCTGTTTAATGAATAAAAGTTACTGTAATTTATATTATATTTGCATTTTTTACACTAAAGTATACTTTACAGAGACATATAGTTCTAAGTACAAATGCAAAGGTTTTTGACAATTTAAGTTTAAAATCGAGATAAATTGAATTTGAAAAAATCGAGATTGCCCTGAAAAATAGATGCCCTTTTTTTTAATATGGAAAAAACCCTACACAACGCTTGACAAAAACGTTTTTTTCTAATATCTTAAAATAGATCCACTCATTTCTAGGTAGCTGTAACAATATAAATGAAAAATGTGGTCAAAAAGCCACAAAAAAATATGTCCTAACGAAAATCCATTAAGGTACCCAAAAAAAATAACAGCAAATGAAAAACAAAGTTTTGCCTCTTATAACCAATGAAATATAAACATAAAAACACCACAGAAATTAAACAACCCCCGAATCTAAAGCCGAAGCTGCATGGGCGAGGATTACACAACCATTCCCACCGACATTACCAGTGCCGGTGGCGGGATTCGAACCCGCAGTATGATGGAGAGGTTATCTAGTCACACTAGCCATCGCGCGTTCTTGCCAACTACTCCACAAAGCCGCCAATGAAAATGAAAATAATGAATGAAAGAAATTGTCAGGTTCATAACAAACTTACTTTTTCTTCAGTTTATAAACACATTAAATCAAAGTTTAAGAAGTAGCACTGACAAAAATTAGCAGATCATCCTATGATCCACTGCCACTATTACTCAGAGCCTTCACAAATATGAGCTGCTATTCCAAAATAATAATTTAAATGTTATATTCCATTCTCTAAAACCTTAAAGCAAATACTAAGACAATATAATTTATTATTAAATGTTTTTTGACAAGGTTTGTTTGTGTTCATATTTACAGGATGAAAACGGCTTAATATGTACTAATTTATTTTATTTGTTGCATCAAATGATAAAATAATTTAACTTATTTTAAACAGTTAAATAGCAGGAAATCTAGTTTTGGTAAGGTAAGTATATTTATTTAAGAAGATTAAGTTTCATCCTAATTTAAAAATTACTCGAATTAGTTTAGAACTTTAAATTTACAACAAAAAGTATGTTATATGCATACCTAGGTATACCTCTAGTCCTCGTATCAATATTAAGGGAAAATGAGAAAATTAAAAAATATATATATATATATATATATATATATATATATATATATATATATATATATATATATATATATATATATATATATATATATATATATATATATATATATATATATATATATATATATATATATATATATATATTATGAGGTAGAATTTGGAGATCCAAAGGTCACCATTCACCAAAGAACCGGAGTCAGACATTATTGATTATATAACTACACATAGGTAAGTGAAGGTGGGCCGGCCATGTGGCCCGTATGTCTGATGGCAAATGGGCAAAAAAAATTTAGAGTGAGATCAAGACAAGACAAGCGAAGCAGACATAGGCCACCGATTTGGTGGATCAATGACATCAAGGAGATTGCCGCAAATTGAATCCTCCAAGGAGCCCAGAACACACAACAGAACTGAAAGAAAATGTCTTGAAGGCATATATTCAGTAGATAGTGAACAAGAACGGCTGTGAAAAAAAATAAGAAGAATATCGAGGAAATGTTATCAGTGAATTGTTTCAAAATTTCTTGTAAACATTAAACGGTGTAACGTATACCTATAAGAGGGTGACATATGAAACGTGTTTGTCCCTTTTTTGTTCAACCCAAAGACACTTGTGATATGGTGGATTGCTCAGGAATTTTATAATCAGAGATTTCGATTAATTTAACATTCATAATATTTAATAGTATATTTAGCACAAAACATTTTAACTTTGCACTTCTGGGTAAACCATCCTGACTCTTTCACATATTTATTAATTTTCTTGCTGATTTTTTTACTTAAAAATGTGACAAATGGTGATTGAGCTATGAGAAAACTTGGTGGCAGCAAATATATCAGAAAACATCATGTAAAAATTACTTCTTCATCAAAATAATCTAATTTATTGACTTTTGATGTTTATAATTAATTGGTCCTAGTTGTTTATACTATCAATTAGTTAAATAGGTACAAAATTTTTCTAGTTAGATATGGCTGTATGTATATCTATATCTATCACTACACAAATAAATTACCTGTATCCTTATTGCAACGCTCAACACGATAATGATTTTTTTTACCCCGAAAGTGAGGACAAAATTTCAGAAATATTTATTATCTTGTCCGGGAAATAAAAAATATTAGAAAACAGTTTACCACTTACTTTTATGCTTTTATAAATGAAACTCGTGTTTTTCTACTAGAACAAATCAAATATCTCTTTTTCCTGAGCAAGTATTTTCTGAATTTTATATATGTACCTAATGTATGAACAATGATTTTATTATAGATAGTCTATATTTACACACATTGAATATGTGTACTGTATTTTATTATCCAATATTTAATTTAATTACCTTATTTTCACAAATAGTTATCCAAATAACTCATTGAAACATTGGTTTAAATTTTTCAAACTCCCAACCCAACAATAATAAATGATACGTACACTCAGGGCTGCTATTTTATGGGGAATTTATATAATAAAACAAATTATTTTAAAAGGACTCTTTATACTCATTTTAACAAATAATCAATTATACATTAGAAAAAGTACCTTAACACTTACCCATTCCAGCCGAAGCTGGCGAGGGCGGGGGTTACCTTGGAAAATAAAATTATTTATTTTAATTATTTTTTAATTTTTTTTTTTATTTTAATAACTATTCTTTAATATAATTTTTTATAATAAAAAATATTTAAAATTATTTAATATTTTTTTATTTTATTTTTTTTTTTTTTATTTATTTTTTTTTTTATTTTTTATTATTTTTTAAATTTTATATTTTTTAATATTTTTAATATTTTATTTTTTAAAAACCTTAATATATAAAATATTATAAATATATATTAATATATTTAAATTTTTCTTGAGATTTTTTTTTATATTATTTAATAATTTTATATTAATATTTATAATATTTTTATTTTTTTTATTTTCTTTTTGATACACTTGACCATATATAAACAATGGATCATAAATAAATATCACTTGACAAAACAGCCAATGATCGCAAACATCGCGTTTGTTGTAATTCTTAGAAATCTCGTCCAAACTAGGTTGGTAAAGAATAACCAGTGCTGTGCGTAGACAGCACGTGTTTGGCGAAATCTTCATCATTTTAACAACAATTATTTAACGTTTAAAAATACAAAATTTGTGTTAAATAATTCAAATAATTTAAATTAGGAAGTGTATTTGAACTTGGTGTGTTTTAATTTGTTTAGTAATGTATGCGTATTACCTACTTGGTGTGTTTTAATTTGTTTATTATAAATGTTTTACACTAACAATTTATTTATCAATTCATGATTTTTTCCATGAACTTCTTCACAAAAGGATTTCGTTTACACTTGTCATGGAATTGATGAATTTCTTTGACTCTGTAATTAATTTCCAAGGATTACCAACAACACAAATAAATAGTAATTTTTTTTGAGGTTAGATTATTAGTTCTGTCTGTCTGTTGAAAATCCACTCATTTTATTGCCATTTTATGATAACAAAACTGTAAAACTACGCCGTATTATTCATTAATAATAATACCCTCATATATCAATAACTAACCATAACCTCACTTGTCAGTTTTCATGAGTTGGTACGCCCGGAATTCATATAAAAATTGACGAAAAATAGAACATGCTCTAATCCATCGATAAGTTTAAAAAGACATTCATGAATTTATTTGATATCAAATTTGGTACATTACACTTACTCAATTTCTTCATGAAGCGACTTCATAAATTAATTCATGAATAAATTGTGGATGTAAAACAGTTATTAGTCTATTTGTTGTGTTTTAAATTTAATACAGGTAGAGTATCGGGTTTAAAATGGCATATACCTAGATGATTTACTAAAAACTGATGCAATTAGTTTATTTGTGTGCTGCGCTAGACTGCTTAGTGCTTACCGTAAATAAACAAAGTTGCGAAGACAAATTTGCACTAATCACCTCTGACAAGACAAATAACTAGACACTCAGAACTTAACAAAAAAAATACTTACCTAGTAATTAGTAGTTTAACAAAACTCTCAGAAGTAAAATCTCTATGATTCGATGGGACAATACATTTTATAAAATTCATAAATTCTCTTAGGTAGGCTAACAAAATCTTTGTTAATATAGGTAACTAAAGACCAGGCAGAAGATTTATAAAAATATGATATTAGATCTTTTAAGTATAAATATATTTTTTTTAAGAAATACGAAATTGTCATAGCTATATTGTTCCAACAGCAGTCAGAAATGGTTTCAAACTGTCCTTGACATGCGCAAAACGAAATTGGCGTTCCAGTAGACAATAATCAGGAATTTTTCTGAATACTATACTCTATTCACTTAAATTTTGCACTACTGGGTTGGCCTTAGTTCACTGGGACAACGCGCAAGGAAAGAAAATATGTATAGAAACCAAATAGTGAACTCTATAGAATTTACATGAACCATCTAGGCTAGAACCAAAGATTTTTAATACCTTACAAAAAATATAAGAGAAACAAACAATAATCTTAAGATAATTACCAGATATTCAAAACGTGTATATTTGAAGATGAATTTCTGTGAAAACTGCAATTCTTAATTCATCTCTTTTTTAAAATGTTGATCCTTTAAGGGCCGATCTTTCCATTTCCTATAAATTTTTTCGGTAGATAATGTGCTTGAATACATTTGTATCAAATTGTTTCCACGAAACTTAGTTATCTAATAGTTAAATGGAAGATGGAAAAACCAGTCCTAACTGTTTATATTATACAATATGGCACTGTATGAGTATTAGTATTATAATACTATTCCTCTATTGTTATTAGTTTTATTAGGAATTTATTCTATTGAGATTATAATTTATGCTTTGATAAAACACTCCAAACTATACCTTATATAATATATTGATGTTGACATTTACTATTATAATTGTAATGTCACATTTTTCTGAAACGTCCACCACGAAAATTTTTCAACATTTGCACTTGGTTACTAGTAGTTTGGCAGTTTGTTTTATCTGTTTGCAGTAATACGTCATGTCATGCTCATGACCCCCACCTCCCGCGCCGATTTTCAGAAAATCTTTAACTTTTGTCAGTTCTCTTCTGATCTTGTTCACGAGTTTTTCACTCAGCAACTTAATTGTTTGTGTATGTGACTATATGTTTGTGTTAAATTCTGTGCAATTACATTGCAAGCAAACAGTAAGTGGTGTTTCTTTTTTTCTATTTATAAAATATGAGCAAGCAGAGCAAATTGACAAATTTTCTTAATAGAAAGAATCGTGATTGAAAGTGGGAGACTGAATCACCAGAAACAACAGTTCCCTTTCTCATTCTCAGAATGTTTCTCTAAATCCAAATCATAAAAACGATGAGCCCGTATTATCGGAAATAACAATAAGTTCCCACTTATTGCCTATTTTCACCACCTTCAATCCGCCCTCAGAGCGTAGGCCTGGATACGCCACTGCTGTCA